AAACAATCCACTCAACACCAACAGAATATACATTATTCTCAAGAGTATGTCTGGACACAGTGTCTCATGCCTATAATCCTAGCACTTTGGGAGGCCCAGGTGGGAGGACCACTTGAAGCCAGGAGTTTGAGACCAGCTTGGGCAGCATAGTGGGACTCTGTCTCTACTTTTTTATTGGGCAGGTGTGGTGGTATGCAACTATAGTCCCAGCTACTCAGGAGGCTGAGGCAGGAAGATCCCTTGAGCCTAAGAGTTTGATTCCACCCTGGGTAATAGAGCTAGATCTTATTTTTCAAAAACAAAAGAGAGGGAGGTACATGAAACATTCTCCAAGATAAACCATATGTTGGCCATAAAACAAGTCTCAATACATTTAAATGGATGTATATAAAGTATGTTCTCCATATAAAGTACACTTATTCCAAAATGGAATAAAATTAGAAATCAATAACAAAACAAATTGAATTAAAACATACACTTCTAAATTACTAATAGTTCAGGAAATAAATCACAAGGGAAATTACTAAACACTTTGAGCTAAATGAAAGGGATGATACAATATACCAAAACTTGAGAGAGGCAGCTAAAGTTGTACTTGGAAAGAAATTTATTGCTTTAAATCCCCATATTAAAGATCAAAGTGGAATTTAATGAAATCAGGAATGAAAATAAGTCAATGAAACCAAAGGCTAGTCTTTGAAAAGATCAACAAAATTGAAAACCTTTAGTTAGACTGAGAGGAGAGTGAATAAGAAAGAGAAAAGACTCAAAATACTACATTAAAGAACAAAAATGAGGATATCCCTTCTAATGTTATAAAAATAAAGATTATATGGAATACTATGGACAGCTGTATACTAACAAATCAGATACTTGGTGTCCAATCTGTGGCCCACAGGCTGCATGCAAATTTTTTGAGGGCTATGTTGCTTATCTGTGGTGTCAAATATAGCAAAAATTTTACACAGACCATTTTTGCGCTCATCAGTTTTCATTAGGCTCTGTTTATTTAATGTGTGGCCCAAGATGACTCTTCTTCCAATGTGCCGCAGAAAAAAAGAAAGGTTGGACACTCCTGAATGAAATGGACAAATTACTAGGAAGATACAAACCATAGAAATGACTCGAGAAGAAATAGACAATCTTAATAGACCTTTAACAAAATTAGGAGATTGAATCTGTAATCAAAAACTACCCACACCCCAGGCCCAGAGGGCTTTACTGTTGAATTCTATCAAACATTCAAAGTGTTAATACCAGTTTTTCACAAAGTCTTCCAAAAAAACAGAAGTGAGGGAATACTTTCCAAGTCATTGTATGAAGTCAATATCACCCAGATATCAAAATAAAGGAAAAAAAATACTAAGAAAAAATCAATATCTCTTATGAATATAATTATGAAAATCTTTACAAATGCTAACACTAAATTTAACAACATAAATATACTATACCCCAGGACCAAGTGAGATTTATCCTAGGATTTTAAAGTTGGTTTAGCAACTAAAAATCAAGTAAAATAGGGCTCAACACATGTAGCTATGTGGTTAAGGCACCAGCTGCATACAGGCAGGTTTAAACCTGACCCAGGCCTGCTAAAACAACAATGACAACTGCAACATCAACAACAACAACAAAAAGAAAATATCCAGGTGTTGTGGTGGGCACCTATAGTCCCAGATACTTGGGAGGCTGAGGCAAGAGAATTGCTTAAGCCCAAGAGTTTGAAATTGCTGTGACCTGTGATGCCATGGCACTCTATCCAGGGCAACAAAGTGAGACTCTGTCTCAAAAAGAAAAAAAAATCAATTAAAATAGGACATGGATGAAAGAAATTGAAGAAGACATAAACAAATGGAAAGATGTCCTATGTTCAAAGAATTAATATTAAAATGTTCATACTACCCAAAGATCTACAAAATCAATGCAATCTCTATCAAAATTCAAATGATATTTTTCATAAAAAGAGAAAAAAAATCCTAAAATTTGTATGGAACCAAAAAATACCTCTAATAGCCAAAATAATCTTGAGAAAGAGGAACAAAGCTGAAAGCATCACACCCCCTGAATTCGAACTACATTACAAAGCTAGCAATCAAACAGTATGGCACTAGCATAAAAACAGACATATGGACCAATGGAACAGAACAGAGAGTGCAGAAAGAAACCCATACATATATGACTAACTAATATTTGACAAGAGTGCCAAGAATACACACTGGGAAAAGGACAGTCTCTTCAAATACATGGTTTTGGGAACTGTATATCCACATGCAAAAGAATGAAATTGGCCGCTTGTCATATACCATGCCACAAAATTAACCTGAAATGGATTAAAGACTTAGCTATAAAATCTAAAGCCATAAAACTCCTAGAAAAAAATGTCAGGAAAATCTCCTTCAATTGACCCTGGCAATGATTTTTGGATGTTACACCAAATACATAGGTTTCTGCAAAAATAAACAAATAGGACTGTTTCAAACTATAAAGCTTCTGCACAGCAAAAGAAACAACAAAATTAAAAGGCAATCTACAGAACGGAAGAAAATATTTGCAAACCATATATTTAATAAGGGGTTAATATGCAAAATACATAAAGAATTCATATAACTCAGTAGCAGGAAAAAAAAAAGAAAAGAAAAGAAAGAAAAAGTAAAACAACCTGATTAAAAAATGGACAGAGGCCTGAATAGATATTTTTCCAAAGAAGGTATACAGATGGCCAACAGGTATATGAAAATGTCATCAACATAACTAATCATCAGGGAAATGCAAATCAAAACCACAATGAGATATCATCCCACACTTGTTAGGATGTCTGTATCACAAAGGTAAGAGGCAACAGTCTTGGTGAGGGCATGGAGAAAAGGGAACCCTTGTGCACCATTAGTAGGAATGTAAATTGCAGCAGCCATTATGGAAAACAGTAAAGAGTTCCTCAAAAAATTAAAACTAGAACTGCCATATAGTTATTCCACTTTCAACTATATATCCAAAGGAATGAGATAAGTAGATCAAAGAGACATCTGCAATCTCATGATCACTACAGCATTATTCACAACAGCTGAGATATGGAAACAACCTAAATTTCCATCAATGGACAAAGAAAGGTGGTATCTATATACGTAAATGGGATATTGTTCAGCCATAATAAAAAATCCTGCCATTTTGCAACAAATGAATGAACCTGGGGAACATTTTGCTCAGTGAAATAAGACAGATAGAGTCCAGGCACAGTGGCTCTCTCCTGTAATCCTAGCACTCTGGGAGGCCAAGACAGGTGGATTGCTAGAGTTCACGAGTTCAAGACAAACCTGAGCAAAAGTGAGACCCCCCATCTCTACTAAAAATAGAAAAACTGAGGCAAGAGGATCTCTTGAGCCCAGGAATTGGAGGTTGCTGTGAGCTATGAAGCCACAGCACTCTACCCACGGCAGCAGCTTGAGACTGTCTCAAATAAATAAATAAGCCAGATATAAAAAAAAAAAAATACTGTGTTCTCATTATATGTGGAATCTAAAAAAATCAAACTCATAAAAGCATAGAGTAAAACAGTAGCTACCAGGAGTTAGGGGATGAGGGAAATGGTAACACTGTTGGCCAAAGGGTACAAACTTTCAATTATAAGATTAATAAGTTCTGGGGACCTAATGTACAGTTTGGTGACTATAGTTTATAATAGTGTATTGTTACTGAAATGGGATATAGAGAGCAGATTTTACGTTCACCTTCACACATACATACAAATGGTAACTGTAGGTGATGATGGATGTGTTAATCTGACTGTGGCGATCAGTTCAGGATGTGTGTGTGTGTCTATTTTTCATATTACATATTTTGTCTGGATACTTTCTGACTGCCTTTGTATATATCTCAAATCATCAAGTTTTACACCTTAAATTTTTGTCAGTTAAATATTTAAAATAAAAATAATCATAACTTATAAAAAAGAAATCAAAATAATACTGCATATTAATATAGAATATAGAAGCAATTGATACAGAAAAAATGTTTGGTACGATTCAATATTCCTTCATGATAAAAGTGCTAAAACAAAAAAAGGAGTAAAAGGGAGCTCCCTCAATTGATAAAAGTCATCTATGAAAAACCTGTCATACTTAATAATGAAAGACTGGATGTTCAACCTCTTAAATCAGTAACAAGAGGAAGACAGCTGCTTTTGCCACCTCTATTTAAACTTGTACTGACGTTCTAGCCAGCGTAAGAAAAAGAATTAAAAGGCTTCAGATAGCCCAAGACGTAAACCTATCTCTATTCACACGCAACATGATCTTGCATATAGGGAATACACACACACACACACACACCCCATTACAACTAATAAACACTTTCAGCAAGTTTGCTGAGTACAAAAATGAACATATAAAAGTATCAAGCGCCCGCCTGCACCTCACCCATAGAGCCCCAGCCTAGCCAGTGGAAAAGCCCACGCCCAGAGAAGCGGGTCTGCATTACAGGTGCGGTCCTCATTATCATCAGCTCAGGCCTGACCTCCTCCAGGAAGCCTTCCTGGCTCCGCCTCCCCCCAGAGACTCCCCCAGAGGGCCCCTGCTCTAAGTTGCCAAAGCATGAGTAACAGCCCGGTCTCACGGCCTCCGACTCACACGTGGTGAGGACAGAGACTCTGTCCAGTTTTAGGGGTTTCTGGAGCCCAATTCTAGCGCCTTACAGGATCTTGGCCCTGAGGGACGCCGAGGCAGCCAGGAAGGGTGAAGGATGGAAACAGCGAATGAGACTGAATGAGGATGGAGGGAACGAAGGGATGGTGGCCGAAGTTGCCCCAGTCTCCTGGCTCAGAAAACAACAGACGCCAAGCTGAGAAGGAGAGACACGGGAATAGACTATTCCTGCCTGGTTAGACCCGAGGTCCAGGCGGGACCCCGGCGCCCCCGGCTCAGCTGGAGGGCGGGGCAGGATACGAGCTAGTGGGAGGTGGGGGTCCGGGCCGGGGCGGAGTCGGGGCGGGGCCTGGGGCTGGGGCGGACCTGGACGGCCACAGCGGAGAGCAGCAGCCTCCGGCGGGTCCCGGCCAGGTGCCCACGCACAGACTCTGGCGCTGAGGTCCCCGCACTCTCGCTGCTCCTGCGGCCGGTGGCGCTGGCTGCTCTCTGCCATGCCCTCCTACACCGTCACCGTGGCCACCGGCAGCCAGTGGTTCGCTGGCACCGACGACTACATCTACCTCAGCCTCGTGGGCTTGGCGGGCTGCAGCGAGAAGCACCTACTGGACAAGCCCTTCTACAACGACTTCGAGCGCGGCGCGGTGAGGGCGTGCAGCTGGGATCGGGCTGGGGGCTGCCCAGGACCTTCGGGACCTCAGAGGCCTGGATGGGGGGCATAAGGGGCCCGTCTGGGGGTGCCCAGGACCCAGTCGGGGCGGGTGGAACTGAGCGGGGAGGAGGATCGCACTGGACTCTCCTGAAGGCAAGACCCGGTTGCCGCGGCCAGGACTCAGGTGGGGGCCGGGTGGGCGCTTCCATGGCGCGGTCTGCAGGGGGCCGCGCTTCTCCACTGGGAGAAGGCTCAAGGCGTCTTCATTTCTTGGATGGGGACTCAGGTTATGGGCGAGTGCTGTAGAATACATTCCGCGTGTCACTGCTTTGTAGGGCACCTTCCGCAGGTTGCCCTGGGTGAGGGCACTTGCTCTTCTGTGAAGCACTTCGGAGCTGGTTGGGGGAGCGTGTAAGTCAGGGGCCCCAAAGGCTTGCGTTCGTCTGAGCTTGACTAGCTAGCTCTGTGCTTCTCTGGACCTCAGTTTCCCCTGCTGTAAAACGGAAGGTTGGCTTCAATCTGGTCTACGAATCATGAAAGAGCCCAGGCCCACCTGGTGGCTCAGAGAGGCACTCAGCAGATGTCTTCACGCGGGCAGCTTACATTCTCCGGACAGCCTCCTCCTCCCCCAACCCCCATGAAATTTAAAGCGAAGGAGCAAGAGAAGCAGGGCCTTTCGGAAACATAGGGTTCTTCCCTCCCTCCCAGCAGGATGTACACCAGGGAACACTTCCAAGGAAGGAGAAAGAGAAGGACTTCCTTTCCCTCCCTCTCACTAGAGACCCTGGATCCTGGGAATTGAAGCATTAGAGGTAGCTCACTGTTTATTAAACCTCTAGTCTGCAGTGCGCTGTGAGGCCACGTGCAAGTGGCCTCATTTGGAAAGCAGCTTCTGATGCTGGCCTGGGCTGAATTCCAGCTCCATAACTCTATCCACACATGGACAGGCCAAAGTTCTCCCTGAGCCTTAACAAAGCGCCTAGTCCAGGACCCTGCTCACAGGAAGGGCTCAGCAAATGACTCTGGAAAGGTCACAGACACGCTGGTGGTACCCTGGGAGTATTTCTTTCTACTATCCCAGCTCCTGAATTGGGCCAAAAAGACTTAGACTTTACCAAGGTACCATCTCACCACTTAGTTTATTATTAGGTCAAACTCTAAGAAATCGCTAATAATTGACTATTTTTAATGAACACAACGGAAATTCCATATTTCAATTGAATATGTTTTCAATAAAATTCATGAAGTGTGTTTTAGGTCTGCAGAGGCTAAAGTAGGTAAATAATATAATAGTCTACTCCTTTTCTGGATTTGCAAACTCCAAGTGGGCTTGCTTCTTCCCCAGGAGCCTGAGAACCTTGCTGGAACCTGACTGGGCATTTAGCCAAGTTCACCACACTCTTAACCTGGCTTGAGTTGGAACCTGAGAGAAGTGTTAGGTGTTAAGTCTAAGAGTGACCTTAGGGTTGCTTTCCCAATCAGGGAACTGTCCTGAGGTGCAGGGGTGTTAATGTGTTATGCGTGTGGGATGATGAGACCCTCGGGCATATCTGAAGCACCTCCATTTATTTCCATTATTTTATGAATTATCCCAACACCTCGTGGGGAGGTACAGACTATTTCATCTTTATGAGTGCCCCCTGTCTTATCTACACCACCACCACCACCACCCCAAGGTTCTAGGAGCACAGGACACCTTGAGTGTGATTTCTTCCAGGAGACACTGTGGTTGATAATGGGGTCTTTGGACCAAGAGTGAAAGCACTGCTTTGTTCATTATTGCCCTCTCTGGGTGCTATCTTCCCCACCCTGAGAATTCATTCAAATGATACTAGATTAAACACCTCTGCTAGAATCCCAGAAGCAAATTTCAGGAGAGATTTGCATGTCCCGTTTCCACTGAGTTGAAGGAGTAGCTAGTCCACAGGGGCTGCTGTGTTGTAGGGAACCAGCTGAACTCAAAACAAAGTTCAACCAGCTGAACTTTGAAAAAAGTCAGTACTTGAGAAAGATCCTGTTGGTGCAAACTTACTCCACACCTTGTCTTGCACAGCTCAGAGCTACTTCCTCATTCAACAGCCAGTACATCTTTAAAGACAATCCATCCCTTTGGGGTGAAGGTAAAAGAGAACTCTTAGAGCAGTGGTTCTCAACCTTCCTAATGATGCGGCCCTTAATACAGTTCCTGTGGGTTGAGACCTACAGGTTGAGAACTGCTGCCTTAGAGGAAGTACTTGCTGAGAAGATAAGGCAAACCCATTTTGGTGGGGAAAATGTTAAAATCCTTATCCTTAACAATAGTAACAGTAACAACAATAAAGGCAGTTTCCATGCAGCCAGTTCAGTCACTTCCAGATCATCGACAGGTCCCTGCCCCAATGTACAATTTATTGGAATAATGGACAGAAATGACTTTTGTCCCTTAATAGATTGAGTTACAAATCCCTGATTATTCTCATCAGAGTTCTGCATAATGATTTTGGTCAAAACTCGGAATCAAGTCCTTCACAGGCAGATTCTCCTGAGTAGGGTCACCTTTACTGGCCCCTCACTATCTGCTGGAGAAATCCCAGATCATACACCCGGTAGCCTTATTTCTGGAGGCTAGCCCAAGACTAAGCAAATTTGACAAATCTGTTTTTTTCTCTATCTCTGTAAATTTAAAAGATGACTTTAACAGTTCTGAAGATTTCTGGGAAGCCTAGTGGGCCCATTTCATTTTATGATGGTACTTTAAAGAAAGCTAAGGGCAATAGGATGATGTTTAATATAATAGGGTGATGGTCAATATGGGGTTCTTGAATACATTCTAAGTTGAAACAAATCTTGTAATAATATACACTTCTAGAATATAGTCAGTGAATATTCCTCATATATTTATGAAGAATAAATTCTAGAATATTTCCTACTCAGGAATGAGACTACAATGGAACTTCTTCCATAGTTGAGCCCATCCCTACATTGACCACCTCCCTAAGTTGCCCTCATTTTCATAGACCGGACAAGCACCACACGTACATATCAGTACAGTAGGCCTAGTTCCTATGTTCACCACCTCCACGTATTGACCAGTTTGTTACAGCCACTTGGGTGGTCAACTTACAGAGATTCTACTGTCTATTAATGGAGAATAAACTTTGTTTCCCTCAATCTCTCTCTGTCTCCAGGTGTTCTCTGTCTCATCTCTTCCCTGCATTCCTTCCCCTCTTCCTCTTCCCCTCTCTCTCTCTCTGCCCCGTATTTCCCCAGTGCCCCTCATTTCTACTCTCTGCCCAAATTTTGACCCCTTCCCTGCTTTTCTGCTCTGATTTCTCCTTCCCACTCTGTCGTCCAGCTCCCCCAGGGCCCTCTTCTCTGCTTCCCGAATCCCTAGCTTACTGTACCATGTTTTCCCTCTTTCTGTCCATTGATGTCCTTAACCACTATCCCCTTTCTCCCTCAGATAAAAACTAGACAACTAACATTTTGATCATTTTGATGAAATATTCAAAAGCTTTAAAACCATATATCCAAGTGAAATGAGCCATCTGGCCCTTTGTGAGATGAGGCAGGTGGATTGCACGATCCCCTACCCCTCTCCAGCATCCCAACTGCCTCACGATCCATCTCTGTCTTCAGGAAAACTGTATCAATATTCGTCCTCCCCTTGTGTGTTCCCCCCTCAGGGACCTTGCCCTCACAGTTCCGATCACCTGAAATGTCCTACCCACACCTCTCCATCCCACTCACCTCACCTGAGAAATATGACCCGCTCCCAAAAGCTGCCTCAAATACCATCTCTCCTAAGAACCTTTTCCACATCCTTGCCCACCACTCCATGTTGCATGCTCTATCCAGAGCATAGACCAGGGCTCAAAGTTGGGTCTTCTAGCTGGTAGCTCAGGCTTTTCCCAAGATATGGCCAGGGAGAACAGTGGGAGGAACCCAGGTTTGGCCATTACCCAGGTGTGACTTCTGATCCTGAGACCACCCATTGCTTGCTAGCCCAGAAGCTGTCTGACCTCTGCCACAGCAAACAGACAACAAATACAGCATCAACCCTGTGTACCCCAGGCCCACAGAGGGGAGGAAATCCCACACACCTTCCTAAGACCATATTTTACTGTTTGACCCATGTGACCCTGTTCTGGCTGGACAGAGGCCTTTCTCCATACACTGTGACTCTTCTAGTAGCTGTCTCCCGGGCTGCCAGAGCCACAGCCACCAGACTTTGTCCCTAAGACTTCTTGAGTTGGGTTCAGGCTGAACCCCCAGGTCTTTTGTTCACCCTTTGTTACATTAAGGCCTGAAGGCAGGGCCAGCAAAGCTCCTGCAGTAGTCAGAGACAAGCCAGGCTGCAGGCCTGTCCCACTGCCCTTGTGGAAGGCCGCCTCAGCAGTTACATTGAGTCCCTGGAAGTCAGTCTAGTGACTTCACTGCAGGTGAAACTCCAGGGCTTTTCGGCAGGCGTGGGTGAGAAGGGATCCTGGGGTGTCCCAGTTTCCTGTGACTGCACATCAGGTGTGCAGCCGAAGGATCACCCCACTATTCCCTCTCTAAGAGAAGTTGCTCAGTGTCTTCCTTTGGGTCACCACCCCCAGCTGGACATCTGGCCCTCTCCCGCGACTCACCTGTCCTGGACCACCTCTTCACCACCATTCCCTTCCTCTTTATTCCAAGGTGCTGGCTCCTACCTCCCATAGGAGTGTCACCATCAGGTCCTGGTGGTGCCTGTTACTTCAGAATGAGCATCCTCTCTCCCCCTCACCCTAGCCTTCCTGGCATCTAGTCCCTCAGGGCCACAGGAGAGCCACTTCCCCTGCAGTAGCCATGCTCGGCCCAGCCTGGGCCTCCAGTGGCTGTCCCCATGGCCTCACCACATGCCAACTTCCCTCTGCTCCACCTGCTCCAGCAGCACCCCAGTGCCCCCCATTCTTCCCGGTCCTCACAGCCCCATCCTCCCCCATGGGATTTTTCTTTGGGTTTTGAGCTGAGGGGTTTGAGGTCACAGGTTCAGTTTTTTCCTCCCCCGTGTGTATCCAGCTACTCAGTTTAGAATGTGCCATCAAAACAAACGCCACCGTGCCGGGGCCCACGCTGGCTCATGGCCATTCAAGATAGTGTGGGGACTGGTGCCCTGAGACCCCTGCAGCCCAGGAGGGAGGCCTGGTGGTCCTTATGTATGCAGCAGCTACCAGCCTGTATGCCTGGAGAAAGGAGGCCATCTAGGCATGATGCATTTAAGTTTCTCAGTGGACCTACAAGCTAGGGATTGTCAGCCTCAGAAGGGGAAGCAATTTTCCTAGCCCACATGGCCTGTCACTTTGGAGGTGGGATATGAATTCAGAGCTCCAGACACCAGAACTCTCCTGGCCCTCTGCCTGCTCCTTGTTGGGACCAGAGATCTCTGTCTTGGCCCACAATCTGAGGCTAAGGCCTCTGTAGATCCCTATGGTATGCAGGGTCTGGTGTGGGGCAGAGCCCCAAGGGCATCCACTCCTGGGCCACTCAGTCCCACTCTGCCCCTCCAGATGGACTCAGGCCCCTTAGGCATTTAGCTTCCTTTTCTGTCAAAACTTTCCTGCCCTGGCCCACTGATGCCCCCACACGGAGCCAACCAAAACGAGCCTTCCTTTCCCCTTCCCTCCTCCCAGATCATTTCTCCCAGTGCCTCACTGGGGCTCCTCTCTCCAGCTCTGCACTCCTGAGCCTGCTGTCTTCTCCCCAAGGGTCACCACCCTCCAATGAGGACAGGACCCCTGCATGGGATTCTGCAAGTCCTGAGATCAGTTCTCTATCTGTGTGGCTTTGCCTGTGGCCCTACTTTCCCACAACACAAGCTGTGGGGCAGAGATCTCTTTCTTGGAGGCAGCCAGATAAGGCTGCCACCCTCCCTGCAGGAGGGGCACGCTGGTAGGACAGAGGCTCGTACACACATGGAAGGACCCAGGACATGCCATCCCAGCACTCGGGCCTGGATCCTTTGTCCTAAGAAACTGTTCTGATCTTCAGGCTCAGGTCCGGACCACAGGGCACAGGGTGGAAGCGTCTGCTTTCCGACCACGAGCGTCTGGCCTTAGTGACAGCTTCCACATACAAACTACTTGTGGTGTTCAGAGCAGAAAGTTTTGCTGAAAACACCCAACTTCCCTTTCCTCTTAGGAATTCCTCCAGGGGCTCTCCCAGCAGCATGGAGAGAGGGGGATGGAAAAATGGATACATGGGGTCACACAGGATGGACACCCTGTGCCCTCCATCTGCTTCATGGTCACACTGAAAATTTAAGATTCTTCTGCCAAGGAAAAGTTTAAAGATTGGTGAAATCTGGCTTAGGAAATCAGAGGGCACCGAGTCCAGGGCTTCCCAAACCCTCTGGTCATCAAAATGCCTGATGCAATCCTGAGCCCCTCAGGCCTTCCGTCTGCCACTGATTGCTGCTGAGAAGCAGACCACTCACAAGCCACAGCTACTGCTGCTGGGCCCACCCATGTCCTAAAGACAGGAGCTTGGCATGGGGTGACCTGAGCAGTTCCATCCTGGGATCCGGGGTTGGCAGCTTCTAGCCACATGGCCAGCTTCCACCTGCCATCAGGGGTACACCAAATGCAGCAGGGACCAGTTGGTCTGATTGTTCTCAGCATCACCATGTGGCTGTGAACTGCAGGTGTCCCAGGAAGACTTGAATCCATGCAACTTCCCCTGTGTCTCAGCCTCCCCATTTTTACTCCCTGAGATCTAGAGTGAGATGAAGTGGCCTGGAATGGAAAGGTCTGGAAAGCAATTCCAGTTCTACCAATCAATAGCTGAGGCGGGACTTACTGTCTCTCACTGTCCTCATCCATGGAACAGATCATAACTCCCTCACCTCCCGAAGTTGTCCTTGGGACCCAAGGTCATGTCACCAAGCACTTTACCAGCTGGAAAGGTCGCCTGTGTGATGGCCAGTTTGCCTTCTTGCCTGGCAGAGTTGGCTTAGTGAGTAGGGGTGCTCACCAAGCACAGCCTCACTGGTGCAGGCACGAGCCCAGGTGTCTCCCCTAGTCCAGCCCAAGCCCCTTCTAAGCAACATCATCCTGGCTCACTGGATGTCATCTCCAAAGGGCAGAGCCCAGAACACAGCACCGACCCTTGAGAAGGCAGAGCTTTGTAGGCGCTTTGGCTGAACAACCTAAGGAGTTCATGTAACGTGCCCCTAACATGGCTTACTGTAGGGAAGGCAAAACTCTATCTTTTCCCATTTCAGCTGGGCCTGAGAATTGGCATAAGACAGATTAATGAAAGAAAAGCATACAAATTTATTTAATACAAGTTTTACATGACACAGGAACCCTTGTGAGGAAACAAAGCTCCCAAGAAACAGGGTCAAGCCTTTACATACTGAATTGGACAATGAGTAGTTAAGTGAGGACATGTGACCAAGCCAAGGGGCTCAGCAGGTAATTGGGTGGAGAAGTGACTGGGAAGATAACAGTTTGTGTAACAAGGTGTATTTGTGTGGATTTCCTGCAGCCTCAACTTTCCAACCTTGATGAAAAGAATGTTACTTTCCTTTCAGTTTGATGGTCTAGGGAGGACATCTTTCACATGGGAATTTCATACTCCATTTTTAGGACACAGCACAAAGTTCAGAGTGATCTTCTTACACCTGCTTTTTTTTTTTTAGTGTCTTTCATTCAAAATAGCCAGTATGCCAGCAGCACATTTGGGGCTGGCATATTCTTAGCTGCTTCAAAACACAGGTGCAGGAGAGCACAGCCAGTCTGATCTGCCTGTTCTCCTCCTCAGGTCGATTCATATGATGTGACCGTGGATGAAGAGCTGGGTGAGATCCAGCTGGTCAAAATAGAGAAGCGCAAGTACTGGCTGCATGACGACTGGTACCTGAAGTACATCACGCTGAAGACGCCCCTAGGCGACTACATCGAGTTCCCCTGCTACCGCTGGATCACTGGAGAGGGCGAGATTGTCCTGAGGGATGGGCGTGGTGAGCAACTCAGGGCCCTCTACCTTCCACCCCAGACTTCTCCTCCCTAGGAACTGTATCTGCAGAAGGGACAACCCTGCCATCCTGGGGCAGCACCTGCTGTGGGCCGCCACGTCCCTGCGGGAAGTGCATGTTCCTTAGCTACCAGTGCGCACAGGGTGGAGTGAGTGCTCCCAGGCCACATGGCCAGCTGTGTCCTCCCTCTGCACTACAGTGCCGAAAGGGGTGGTTAAGTCACCCTTTTGTCATCATGTAATTAGTAGCATAAACTTGGGGTGCATACCCCTGCATGACAGCTCTCCAGTTGCCAGGGTTGTGGCACCACTTTCCAGAGTCACCGCCTTCCCTCTGTGAGATCGTAGTAGAGCTCAGGAGAGCTCAGGGCACCCCAAAGGCCTGAGGAGGAAAGGAGTAGGCCATGCACACCCCACATGCTAGCTCCAAGGGGCCATGGGCAAGCATGGAGTTCACAGTCATTGTTCCTAACCCTAAGGTCTCAATTTTTGCTGAAAGAAAAAAGAACCTAAAATCTGCCCCCCTCAGTCCAAACCCCAAAGTTGCAAACCCTAGTCTGGCATTTCCTTGGGAGGCCATTCTTTATAAGGGGCATGCAATTGGCCTGGTACAGAGAATCCTAGAGGGAAGCAGATGTCAGAGGCTAGCCAAGGCCACTCTCTCTCTGAATGACACCCCTTGCATACCAGCTTCAGTGTGCTGGAGTCAAATTTGAGCCTTGGCAAAATCCTACCTCACTGCAAGTTATGGCCCTTTGGTTTGCTCCCAATATAAACCTGGAATGATAAACCCACAAAGGCAGCCACTGTAATAATGAGGATAAGGGCAGCTGCTCCTCCCCTGAGAGTACCCGATGCTTCCTCATTGACAAAGCATTTCCCATCACTCATCTGTTTGTTCTTCACAGAAGTTTGGTAGGGTAAGATGAGAATAACTCTTAGCCCTATTTTATAGCTAGGAAAACCAAAACAAAGGGAAAAAAAGCTCTTCCTTACCTGGCATTCATAAGCTATCAGGCCACGTCTCATTGCTTCTGATACGGAATTTGACTTAAGAAACCATATCCTAAGAATAGTTCTGAAGTGAATGATTGCAGCAAAGAGGATTTTTGTCCCCCTACCTCAAGGCAGGAAAAGTATCACTAAGTTCCTTTTGTCTTGTGGTTGTCAAAATGTGGAAGGTTGTAGACAGGCAGTTTTCTAGTATTTGGCTCCAAATTTCCCTTCTATCCATCCCACATGAGGTCTCCTTTGTGAAGTCCTTCTTCCCACAGACCCTTCAGCTCTTCCCAATAAAAGTATTATGATGGTACACTCAGATTAGGATGACTTGGGGGGTTTAAGAAAAAGACTTCAGAGAAATGTGGGCCCCTGTGTACCACTAGCCCTGATGGGGAAAGGGAGATAAGGAGTGCCAGAATAACCCAGAAGGGGAGTGTCCTGGAGACCACTCCCTTGGAGGAACTATGGCTCCTCCCACCTTCCCCATTCCCTCCTCCAAGGTTGGAGCTCCAAGTGGCTGTGCCTGAAGGAAGATCATTGGTGAAGTCCATTCCCATCACCTGCAGGGATTGGACAGGGTGGAGGGTGGGCAGAGAAACTATCCAGAAAGCTCCACTGTTATTGCTGTGTAACCAACCACCTTGGTAGTTTTAAACAGCTACTGAATTTGGCTCATGGTCTTGCTGTCTGGGAATTTAGTACATATTAAAATGGAAGTTTTAAAAACCTAGTGTTTTTTCAGCATGCCCCTTGGGTGAAGGGCTCAACTCCAACTTGAACTTTACCTTAGAATTAAAAATAATGTAATCTAAAAATTTATACCCTCATATTAATTTGAAATTTTAAAAAAAAACCTGGTGCTTCACCACAGAGAGCAGGAGAAACACTATTATAGGCCCCTTTCCAGGAGATCTGGGCTCCTCCTTGGGGCTCCATTGACTGTGTTCACTGGCTTTATCTTAAATAACAATACAAAGAGCAATCCTGGTATGACCTCATTTGCTCTAAAGACCCTGAGAAGTGACCCTGCTCTTAGCCATCTGCCCCAACTCCTGAAATGAAAGATGGTGAAAGGACAGGCTGAGAGACAAGACAGGCTCTAAGCCTGGGGTTGGAGAAAGGAAGGGAAACCTCTGGCCCTTGGTAACTACCAGCAGGATGACAATAACAATTGTTCCCATTTCTTGGGCATTTACCAACACCAGGCACAATGCAGAGGGCTTTGCTATATTCTCTCTCTAAATGCATACTGTGACCTTGAGAAATGGGTGTCATTGTCTCTCCTTTACAGGTGAGGAAATCAGACACACTTGCTCTAGGTCACAGATTTAAGCCACAGATCCCAAGTCCAAGCACACGTGTCTCTTCTAAAGCCCACAGCCTAGGACACTACACTTTGTTTTAGACCTGAGCTTCATTCTCAATCTTCTGTGTAGGAACCACAGGGAACTGGTCAGTGTTGGCATCTATGGGTTAGATCTTAAGTCACACATTTCTCCATGAAGCAACCAAACAGACTTAGAAGCATGAGAGCTACATGCTTCTCCCTCAGGCCACACCAAAGTTCACAATCACCTGCTATTTCTGCTCAGTGTAAGAATTACAGGAAAGAGGAGTAAACTATTATATAGTGGTATAAAAATACCTACCAACATCCATAAAATGCCCTTTCTCCCCTGAGAGAAGGCAGTTCTGCACCAGGGGAGAAGGGTTTCTGCAGGCGTTAGGTCCTGAGGGGTTGAGAGGAATGCTGGAACCCACAGGTGTAAATGCACAGGCAAATGCAGAAATGGGCACACACTGCACTTGCTGAGTTTGAGGAAAACCAAACCCAGCTCGTATATCTGGATGTGATTCTCTGCGCACCAAAGGGCAGAGGACCTAAGCCTTGCTGAATGAGTGGACGGGAGGATGAGAAACTGGATTTGCCTTTTGTAAAGGGAATGGCCAAGAGCACGGGTTTGAGTCTTCTGTTGAAAATCCACTAATTAAGTATATAACCTTGGGCAAACTACAAAAGTAAAGCTCTTCAACCTCTCCAAGCTGTGGTTTCCTTACCATAAAATGGGGGAGTGTTCCAAGGCTTCAGTGAGATGATGCAGGGAAAGCAGTCCATCCAGGAGGGGCATCGGAGGGAGACCTGAGCATGGATGCCGCTGCCATTCATCTATAGGCGCCACTCATACTTGTTCTTTCTTCACAGCAAGATTGGCCCGAGATGACCAAATTCACCTTCTCAAGCAACACAGGCGTAAAGAACTGGAAACACGGCAAAAACAGTACCGGTGAGTTATGACATCAGACCCAGCAGCCATGGGTTCATGGTTTCTTCTATCTCAGGTGCATGGTATGAAATAAATCTTGACCACAGCATATGGCCCATCCCTTTGGTAAGTCACCCAGGCACCAGCTTTCTCCGTGGCCCTGCAATCCCCCTTTGCCTACCACTCCAGGTAGAGATGGTGAAGAGAGTTAGGAAAAAACAGGATCAACCATATTGGCATGTAGGAGGAATGGACAGCAAAAGTTTGAGCATACCATAATGTTCCCCCACTTCCCTTTGGAGGAATTGCCCTTTATTTTTTATGTCTTTTTATAATAATTTGATTATAAATGTGACACATGATCAACAACAAAATTGACAAATCTTTAGCTAGCTAACCAAGAAGAAGAAACTCAAGTTACTGGAACTAGAAATAAGAGAGGAAAAAATTCAATACCAATCCCATAAAATTAAAATGAATTTTAAAAAGTATATGATAAACAACTGTATGCCTACAAATTAGTTCACTTAGATGAAATGGAAAAGCTCCTAGAAAGACAAAAACCACCAAAAGTAACTCAAGAAGAAATATGTTACGAATAAACCAATCATAATCAAAGAGATTGAATTAGCAACTTAACTTTTGAATTTTCTGCAAATAAAATCCCAGGCCCAGATGGCTTCACAGGTGAATTCTAGCAAATATTTAAAGAATTAATACTAATCTTGCATCTTTTAAAGAAAGAGAAGAGGAAGGAACACTCCCCAACTCATTATATGACATCAGTATCTGGTTTTATTCAAAAACTAGATAAAGACATCACTAGAGGGCAGCACCTGTGGCTCAAAGGGGTAGGGCGCTGGCCCCATATGCCAGAGGTGGTGGGTTCAAACACAGCCCTGGCCAAAAACTGAAAAAAAAATTTTTTTTTAAAAAATAAAAAAAAAAAGACATCACTAGAAAAGAAAACTGTATATCAATATCCCTTATGAATATAGATGCAAACATTTCAACAAAATACTAGCAAACCAAATCCAGCAGTATATAAAAGGCATTATATAATATGAACAAGTAGAATTAATCACAGGAATGCAAAGTTGGTTTAACTTCAAAAATTAATTTAATACACCATATCAATAGAGTAGAGAACAACAAAACATATAATCATCTCAATAGACACAAAAAAGTATTTGGCAAAATCCAATGCCTTTCATAATACATAGCCTCAGAAATAGGAATTAAAGGGAACTGACATAAAAATGGATATGGGAAATCCTAAGGAATTCACCAAAAGGAACAATTAGAACTAATAAACCAACAAGGCTATATAATACAAGCTCAATATACAAATATCATTTTTTATACACCAGCAACCCATAATATAAAAATAAGAAAAAATTCCTTTTACAATAGCGTCAAAAGGAATAAAATACTTATGAATAAATTTAATGAAAGTAGTCCAAGACTCATGCAAGGAAACTATAAAACATTATTGAAAGTAAGTAAAGAACATCTAAGTAAGCTGAAAGACACCTTATGTTCATGAGTCATAAAACATAATTTTAGCCAGGTGCAGTAGTGCACACCTGTACTTGTAAAGCTGAGGTGGGAGGATCACTTAAGTTTGGAAGTTCAAGATCAACCTGGGCAACACAGTTGAAACCCCATCTCAAAATAAATAAATAATAAAGAAAAAGAAAACTCAATTTTGTTAACATGACTATACTCTCCCAAATAATGTATAGGTTTAACACAATCCCTCTTTTGTAGAAATTGACAAGCTGTTTCTCAAATCCATATGGACCTTATGGAAATGTAAGGAACCCAGAATAGCCAAAACAATCTTTTAAAAAAAGAAAACAAAGTCGTAGGACTCACACTGCCTAATATCAAAATTACTACACAGCTGGGATATTCAAGACAATGTGATATTGGTATAAGGATAGATAGATACAGAGATCAATGAAATAGAATTGAGAGCTCAGAAATAAGCTCTTTGATTTACAGTCATTTCACTTTTGACTGAAGCAGCAAGACAGAGGAGAAAGAATAGTCTAGTCAACAAATGGTGCTGGGAAAACTGGATAGACGCATGAAAAACAATGAAGTTAGACCCTTACCTTACATCATACACATAAATTAATTCGAAATGAATCAAGTACATACATGTGGGAACTAAAATATAAGACCCTTTGAAGAAAACATAGGAGTGAGCTTTGAGTTTAGATTTGGCAAAGGATTCTTCCATATGATACCAAAAGCATATGCAACCAAAAAAATAGATAAATTGATGTCATCAAATGTTAAAACTTTTATGTTTCAATGGACATAATAAAGGAAGTGAAAAGACAGCCCACAGACTGAGAGGAAATACTTGCAAGTCTTATATCTGATAAGGGGCTTCCATCCAGAACGTATAAACAACTCTTGCAACTCAATAATAAAAGACAAACTGCCCAGGTAAAAAGCAGGCAAGAATCCGAGTAAACATTTCTCTAAAGAAGATATACAAATGGTCAACAAGCACATGAAAAGATGCTTGACATATCAGTCACCTGGGAAATGCAAACCAACATCACAGTGAGATAGCACCACATACCCACTAGGATGGCCAAAATCGAAAGTCAGATGATAACAAGTGTTGACAAGGATGTTGAGAAATCAAAACTCTCATTTACTACTGGTAGAAATGTAACAAGCTGCAGCTGCTTTGGAAAACAGCCTAGTAGTCCCTGACTGTTAAACAGAGTTACAATATGACCCACCAATTCCACTCCTAGGCAGATACCCAAGAGAAATGAAAACGTGTGTCCACATAAAAACTTGTACATGCATGATTATAGCAGCAGTATCCATAATTATCCACATGTATATACAAACCAAATGTCCATTAATGAACAAATGGATAAAATGTATATCTATATAATTTGGCCATAAACAAGGTATGAATTACTGACACATGCTACAACATGGATAAACCTTGTAAACTTTATGTTAAGTGATGGAAACCAGTCACAAAAGGTTGAATATTGTATGATTCCTTTTATATAAAATTTCCAGAACAGGAAAATCTGTAAAAATAGAAAGTAGAGGCCCGGCGCCTGCAGCTCAGTGAGTTGGGCACCAGCCACATACACCGGGGCTGGCAGGTTTGAACCTGGCCTGGGCCTGCTAAACAACAATGACAACTGTAACAACAACAACAAAAAAAAAAAACCCCACTTCACATCCACTAGAGTGGCTGAAGCCAAAAAGGCAGGGAGAGAATAAGTGTTACCAGGGATGTGGAGAAATTGGCATCCTTATACATTGTTAGTGGAATGTAAAATGATTATGCCACTTTGGAAAACACATCAGCAGTTCCTCAAAATTAAGGTAACCAGATTTTAACATTGGTAAAGCGGGACACCATTGACTGGGGGGAGGGTGTCTTAATTAAAAATTTGGTCTATATGGAGCAACAAAACAAAAATTTTCATAGAATGCAAAAATAGTATTTCAATATATTTTTTAAATTTCAACATAAGTACAATTTACAAATATAATACATTAAAAAATTATGTATAGCATTATTTTTAGTCTTTGGCATATGTCTCATTTGAGTGAATTTTTTTTAGTAGATTGCTGTCATTGTTTAAAAGGTCATGAAGTTTTTCACAAGAATTTGTTAAATTATATTTCACACATAAAATGGCTTTCAAAGTCTCAACACTTAATTGTGATTTTTCTGATGTCCACACTTTATTTACCGTAGAAAAAACATGTTCAGTCACAGCATTAGTTCCCGGTAAGGACAGTGCATATCCCACAATTTTTAGTGCATTATTGTGTGGAACATGTTTTGTTTCAAAATGATGAAATATTTCTAACCATTTGTTCTCTGTTGTGATTTTTGCTGATGCCCAAGATTTAACCTTTTCCTTATCAATATTTTTTTTAATGATGATACCTTGTAAGTCGTAAGTGTCACTTTCAAGGCCAGCGCTAGACTTTTTGCCACCACAATAAAATATAAATAATATGAGTATTGTCTGCTAAATTCATGAAATAAATAAACAAATTACTTACCTAAATTATCTGAATAGCTGATTTGTTGACATCACTTGTTTAACTAGCACTAGCACACAGTATGATGTGTATCATCTGAGAGACAGTTACAAAATGTTTTCGTGGTTGCTAATGCCAAAAAATGCCATTGTTCATTAAGTCTAAACAATGGTGGTCGAATTCTAACAACTGGTCAACAATGCGAACTTTGATAAGCAGTTCTCAATAATCAGTTCTCAACAATTATTTGTTATTATTAAAGTTTAACATTGTAAAATTAACAAAAATAATATAAAACTCATATCCTGGCGAAATAGCCAAATGGCAGCTGAAAACTGGATATTCCCTTCCCGTTCTCCCTCTGTTCCCTAGCTTGTCGTGCAATCTTTCCAAAAATCGGGACTTTTTTAAAACACCACAGGACGCAGGACAAATTGTTAAAAATTGGGACTGTCCCACCAAAAGTGGGACGTCTGGTCACCTTACCAGAGTTACCATCTGACCCAGCAGTTCTTCTACCATGTTTCTACCCAAGAATAGTGAAATCATATGTCCACACAAAACACTTGTACACAAATATTATAGCAACATTATTCATCATAGCATAAAAGCAGAAACAACCGAAATTCCATTAACTAATAGTGGATAAACAAAATATGGTATATCCATACAGTGGAATATTATTTGCCATTAAAAAGTAATGAACTACAGATACATACTAAGTCATGAATGAACCTTTAAAACATTGTGATAAATGAAACATTCTTTTATAAAAGACCACATATTGCATACTAACTATATGAAATACCCAGAAGAGGCAAGCCTGTAGAGACAATCTGGTAGATTAGTGGTTGCCACGTTACTAGGAGTTTGGGACGGGGGATGGGGAGGGAGCATCAATGGGTATGAAGTTTCTTTCTGGGGTGAGAATATTCCAAAATTGGATCATAGTGACAGGGGCACAGCTCTGTGAA